ATGGCAAACCACTTTTGGATCATCTGCCAAGAACGTATATGAACAGGTCCCAGTCCGAGAAAAGGATGGAAGGATCCTGTTCATATGGACCTGTCGTCAGACAGAACACTAAATAAATAAATAAATAAAATAATACGTAACGAGACATATTATTTTAAGGCCGGTTGCCTGAAACACAGTGGTAGTGTTGCTACTTAAGGTTTGTGTTTTAATACGAGTTCCCAACGTAACATTAATTCTTACTGAGTTACAGAAAATCGTATTCAGCTATCAAACCGCCATTAATAATAATTCAGACAGGCAAACAATGATAATAAATACATATACAAAAACAAACAAACTAAACTAAATATATAAATGAATATTTATAATAGATCAATCAAACGCTTCCCGTTTTGAGTATAATATAGCCAATTACAGGCAAACACTGTTATAATATACATAGTTAAGAGTATAACAAATACTAGACCCTTTCCTGTGCGGAGAAAGTGCCTTCAAGGGAGACAACTGACTTCGCTGAACATGATCGTGTTCACAAAAGCATATCCTCAACCAGTTGAATTCAGTCAATGCCCTCACACTCTTGTCCTTAATCTACAAATAGTTCTCCCAACTGGTTTCTTTGCTTAAAATTTTCTGACTAAAATTTGTCGGGATCATTGCGTACCGTTGATCTGATTATCCGAACGACAACACTTGATGACAGTGTTAGCTAGCAATGACATAAAATTCTGAAAGAAAGCTCGTTTATTTAGCTAATTCTCTCTTAATGGTAATTATGCTGTTGTTCTAGCCACGGGTATCTTGGCATAACTGCTGATATGTCAGACCACAAGCCTTAGTTTTGATTGCAGATGTTACGGTTTCCATCGATCTCCAGCTAGCTGCTACTAACCTCAGTTTCATAGACTTGATTGTTCGCGTGACATGCAACATTAGAGGAGCTCCGGTAATGATTATTTAGCCCCAACCTTCCTCGTTTTCTCTCTCCCCTCACTTCAGCAGTCAAGCTAAACTTTGTTCTAAATTCAGTCCGGTTCGGTATTCAACAGAGAGTAACGTTAATATTTCAAGGTCTGATTCGTTTTATTTTAGATCTGTGTGCATTAACAAGCGTCTCTGCAGATGGAGAAATTATTTTGAAAAAACAAATTTCAGGTCATTATACTGAATTTAAAAGGCAGTGCCAAATTATATCATACGTTACAAACCAAGTGTTTCCGGTCAGAACTCATTTAAACTACTTTTCTACTGCAAAGAATATCAGCCTCACAAATCTTACGTTTTAATTTATAATCCGACAGTAAGATTTATTTTTATTGGTTATCGTGTTGGGCTCGTGTGTAGATGTTCGTAGAATCAAATTGAACTCGGTTTATAATATTTTTATTGCTTGTAAATAAGTTAAAAATTGATATTTTTGTCACTTATTATTATTATTATTGTTTCTTTTAGTATATTCCCTCTTATCCTTCTACTGCTGATATCCTCACAATCGACCTGTTTTCCACGCATGCGTCAGCAAACTGAACGGTACAACCAAGGTGTAAGTAAGTCTATTGGAACTGACTCGACTAGACTTATGCGCAGCCAGAAATTAGTGGCCTCTACAAAATAATTAGACTGTATATGTCGTAAAACGGATTTATCTAAAATGTTTACAGTGTTCTGTAGGATATTTTCTAAATCGTTCTCAGTGCCGAGGTAGATTTATCATGCCACAGAACGATAATTCGTTTGCAGAAGGAATATGAAAGTAATGGTTAATGCTGGGCCATTAATGTGATATCGATCTTTTGTTTGTTTGAACTTTCACATGGTCTTTATTGCATTCCGCTCGTAACCTTTTCTGTTCGTCACACTAACAGGTGAGGGGGCGTGGTGGTTCGGAATGGACGAGGAAAGCAACTGTCTCCCTGCTTGTATATCAGAACGTTCAGTACAAAACGTTGCACAAGTCGTATAACTGCTCTACTAAATGACATCCTTTGCTAAAGGTTGATATATTACTTATTTAATGACACTGTATGTATTTTATGATTTATTTAAAGTCGAATGATGGTACGATTACGTTAGGGCAAATGAAGAGTAACATAATGTTATGTTATAATAGAAGCAAATTCCTGCCAGTGAAAATTTCTGACGGTGAAACTTTGACGTACCGTACGTTTTCGGACACGGATTCCCTTCAGATATTAATGGTGCTGGAATCCCAATTTCGAATTCTGGCTGGGGTAACTACTCATCAATGTAAAATCTAGCTAGAAGCTGTAACTTTGGGCTATGAATAATAAAGGATGAGAAATTTTACAGAAATGATAATTGTAAAACCTGAAACAAAGAGAACACTTCAGACACCTAGGAATGTATCGGTGAGTAAATACATCTTAAATAAAAAAAATGTCGGGTTCTGGACTGAATCCAGCTGGCTACTTCTGCGGTCCAGAAGCGAGATGTTGTTGATAACTTTGTCAGGAATCTTCGGGTTCTACGAAAGAATGGGCAATTCTTCCATCGCAGGATTTTGCAGGAGAAGCTCTGTACTAAATTTACAACTCACCCCATGAGTTTCTCATACAAAATAAAAAAAAATAGACAATGTATTCAAAATCTGAAAGACAAGATATTCCTATAAATCGTTTATCGTTATACATATAAGCGTATATAACCATTGTGCGAATATTGTGGAGGGAAGTTCATGACACAGTGTTATCACCCGCATCCTATTCCAGTGGTATTACTAGGCTTGTGTTATGTACTACCGCGTCATAACATACAACCAGTTTTCTTTCCAAACCGCTGGACGGTCGTCCTTGTTTATACCAGCCATCATTCATCCTATTTATTCCTCGAATGTATATCGTCTCCCTCTTTTGTGATATTCAGCTGTCTTTTTATAAACGCGCCCTGAATGTAGTCCATTCTCCTCTTTCATATAATGTGATGCCATGTCCACTGAGAAACCTGCCATTGTTGTGTCTAGATCTAAATTGTCTATCGGTCTCAAAAGATGCCAGGTCTCTATGGAGACGAACTTTGGAATGAGGACTACAGGCTTAGTGTGTTCAAAAGAAATTACTGTTAAGTATCGTCGGAAAGTTTGGCTGCATCTGGATAATGAGAGTTTGATGCTACCATTTCTTCTCCCATGGTGTATTGGATAGTTCCCCTGCTTCGTATTATTCTGGAGACCCCTAGTACGAATCTCATCTCATCTCCAATATTGCCTGGAATTCCGATTGAGTTCGTGTGTTTTCCGGGTATTATTGGATTAGTAAATATTTATGAAACTTTGATATATCATGATCATTATTACAAATTGTCCATAACGAGTTTCGATCTACTATATTATCCTTTTATTACAGTGTTAATTGTTTTAATTTTAATTTTGTCACATTTTTATCAGTGTTTCAGTTTTTAGTTTGTTAAAGTGACTTTCGATTACTGCAAGTATTCGTGTTTATATATTTGTAGATGGTGGTTATTGGATACCGAATTATACACTGCAATTTTGGTAAGGATATTTTTTTAACATACAATTTCAGTGTTAGAACATTAACTGTATTTACGTCATTTATCCGCTTGTAATTGTCCATAATCTAGAAACTATAAGTCTTCTTGTCAGGGTCTGATTTTGAACCACAAGTAACTCGACGACACTACTCGTAAATCGGTTTCAATTTAGGTACAAACGGTTGTACCCACGCGTAACGTTACAAGGCCAAGACTTTTATGGAGACGACACTTATCAAAGATAAGTGAATTTTTTACGCATTCATACCGGATGTTAGACCAAACAGTGTACTGGAATCAGGAGTGAATTCCGGTAAAATTAATATTTCTACCGCCAAACTGAAAAACTGACACAAATGAAATTGCTGGAAGAGGAAATTTAAAATTCATATCTGCGATTTTGATAAATAGGACCTATTGCAAAAGCTTGTCGAAACTATTACCCATTGTCAGTCTAGCTCGCTTGGAAGAATGAGAAAGATATGGGAAAATAAAATTAAACCTTTGAAACCGAAGCTCGTCTACGTAATATTTACAAAATTCAGTTCTTATCTGAAAGGAAACACATCGCTTATCCATTAAAAAGATCATTTATATAACGTTGTTTAATGAATTTATCCGTCTTTAAATTAATTACTTCGTTTAAAGATTGTTTTATATTTTCTAGCGTGAGTAAGAAAAGTAATTTTAAAATAAAATGTATTTATTATTGTACTTCAATGATATGCCTACCTATCTAACATGTGTTCATGATTTCATGCTTGCTTCCACGTTATTTAAATGGGAGGAGACTTCGCGGGAAACATTCAAATAATTTAACTCGGCTCTCGACTTTTATTTTCAATGTTGTTTTTTCTGTTACTACATATTTTGAAGGGAAAAGGACAAAGTCGATAAAGAAGAGAAGAGATGGGGGAAAAGAATGACGATAGAACAGACAAATTAAAGGAAGGGAAAATATAATTCGTTAAAAGGTTGGGAGAGGATAAATGTGCAAAGAGTAAGGGAAAGTAAGATAGAAATAATTTTCAGTTGAATTTAAACAGCCTTTTAACACTGCTTAACGTATAAAACGGCCTTGCTTAAAAGATTATATTACATTAAGCCTGGTGTCAAAACGACTACCTACGTTAACGTTATAATGTTACATGCATGATAGAACAGAAGTTGGTAGCTGTACTGAGAATTTCCTTGACGATAGTATCGAATGTTGTTGTTAATACAAATTCAATGTAATATCCTCAATACGTATTCTCGTTAATGGGATTGCACTTTAAAAATTGGTTACATGATACTGCAGTTGAGCTAGGTAATATGGGATGGGGGAGGTTGAGTGTACGGGTGCTTTCAGTGTTATTGCACGCGCCAGAGCGTCACCATCAACATATTGTAACCTGTCAAGCCGCCACTCGGTAAAGCAAGGTAATAAAACTATGTATATGCATGAAACGTAATCCGAAATTGAATTTACTTTTTAAAAAGTAAACTGTTTAACTGTAAACTTTATAATTGCAAGTTGCATCTTTTTCACAGTAAACTGCCAAATAGGCTTATATGTCAGAATGATTGTCTCAGAACCAGTAATTAATTTATGGTACGTAGTATTTCAGGTTCTACGGCAACGCGCATGAAGACGGTTGTGTTCTGGGATGTTTCGCCTTGCAATCTGGTGGATATTGACCGATGTTACAGAGCAGTTTACTGACTCCATCTTCAGGGTCTTGATGATAAAGGGGATTAAACTCCTCAGACACCGGCCACTTTCTAAAACGCTAAGTGACGCAACATCCCAGAATACAGCCAGCTTCAAGTTTTACTATATTTATTTCAATATCAGATCCAAAACTACATTTTCTTTTCCTGACATTTGTGGTGAAAAACATAACGAAAGGTTACTGAGGAGACAGAAATTGCTGACGTAATATTTTGGGGTGTGCTAAAGGTAAAAGCGGAGAAGAGGAAAATAATAAGATGAAAAGTATGTACTAGCAACGTCAGCAAATGTAAGAGAGGGCATGTCAGTCCGTCTACCTGTGGATGGGCTATACGATATCAAACCTCTTCAGTTCCAAAACAAAACAAAAGAAAAGCAGACGTAAGATGTGGTTTGAACTTAATACCCACTGACGTGAAGGACAGAAGGATAAAAAGATGTGTCGGTGGTTGTCAAAGACATCAAACCAGAACTTGAACAATATGTCCATGTTTTTGTCCAGGAAATATTCCAGGAGGTACAAGTTTTATGCGGAAGCTCGCTATACTGAAACCAAATTTTGTACAAGGAGTTGATCAGTTATTATTCTTAAAATTATTTGTGAAATTTAGCCCTGGGTGAGACCAGTTTATTCGAAATCGTGTTTAATTCTGTGCCTGAAATTTAGTGCAGTATGTGGCATTTTTAAAGCTAGAAACACATGGCAACGTCTTATACATTTTAACAAAGATCTTTCATAAGATAAATTTTGCCGATCTGTAAAAAATATCTCTTCAAAATCAAACCTTGGCGTTTTGTCGCTAAGGAAAGTAACATCTTTACGGGCAGCTAACAGGACTTCGCTCCACCGAGGGTAAGATGTGAGACACCACATCGTGAGCTGCGTGGTGCTGAGGTTGTGGTGACACTGTGGCTAAAGATGTCTCCAGGACACGAGGCAGCATCTCGTCGCATTCATGCATTCCACCCGAAAGTTGTAGTGCGGGTGCTTGAAGCTTCAAGCAATGTTCCTCCGAAACTATGGTACATTCTTACGAGTTCACATGGCGTTACAGCCCAGAATACCAGCATCGAAAATAGGTTCATATATTGTACTCTTTGCCAAATATTTTACGGTCATCAGATTAAGGAAAAATTATTAATTTATGGCAACTATAATTTATCGTTTAACATGATCAGAGTCTGTCGTATGCCTGAAAAAAATTGAGGGGTACAATGTTTTAGTAACAAACCCTGAATAAATGTGAAAAACTTATCTGTAACTGAGATTCTTAAATACGTATAATGTGATCAAGAATTCGGGTGGTTTAACATACAGTCCACTATTGCAATTACTGTAATCAATGTTATTATTCATTAAATTATGGGAACTTCTTGAATAAGCATAGTGACTATCTTTGTCTTAAAATTGATCTTGAAGAAGGGAACTTCCTTTTGAATTTTGTTACCGTGAATATGTCCGTTCTGACTTATAGCCTTTCTTTGACAATAAAAGTCGTACTGTTGCCAAAATTTGTATTTTTTGATTACAATCATCTTGATACTTACCACCGTGAGATCCTGAAATCTCTCTTCTTAATGTCGTTTCTCTCATGCAGTAGCATTACAGTTGAGATTGAAAGTGCATTGTGTTTGGTTGCACTTTAATTGGAGGATCGTTAATCGGCCTGGGCTATTGACATTAACCACTAGCCGCGGTTCATCGTGGCTGCACCATAATCTGTGTGTATTCCCTCACGTTTTCTCGTAATGATCTTTATCCTCACAGTATCACTGTCGGTCTTGCAGATTCCTGACGTTCTGCTACCTTGCGGCGTTCAACTGCTGGTTGCTGTTGTGCCCGGCCACGCTCAGTCACGACTGGCAGATGGGCTCCGTGTCGCTCGTCACCTCTCTCGCAGACTCCAGGAACATCGCCACTTGTCTCTTCTTCGGATGCTGCATCCTAGTCGCTTACAGGGGCATCGCCGACTTCGAGGTAAGGCACTCGAAAATACAATTTGGCAAAGTATCTCCACTCCACTCTGTGTCCAGGATGGTTTCCCTCGTTTCTAATATTGCAAGGTAAATGAAATAGACCAAAATGGTCGTCGTAGGTTGTGTAAGCAGCTCAGAAGAGGGAGACGTTTTAGTGGGAGAAATACTGAGTTGAAGAGAAGCGGGCTGAGATAAGAGGTCACTCGAAAGACCTTGGCGTTAATGAAAGGATGATATTAAAATGGTTTTTAGGGAATTAATGCTGGAGATCGCCGATTTGATCCGGCTGACCCGGAATAGGGGCTGGTGGCGTTTGTGTGGACACCGAAATGGAAATTCATGTTCCACAAAAGTAGTAAATTTCATGATTACCTGATCGTACTACAAGCTCCTCAAGAATCACTCTGCTCCATGGCATTACCGAGTTAGCTAGTTAGAGATGAAGAGGGGTGGATAAAATTAATCTTCTAATTATTTATTTTTTTTAAATTACCACCTGATTTTACGTACAATAACTGTACAGTCTGTCCGCGTACCGTCTTTATGGGGTTTCGTTTCATTTTGAAAATAAACAGCAAGGTTTTCCTAAACAATGTTAAAAATCAAAAATATGTTAATGATGTTCTAATTCTTTTGTAGTATTCAAGAACCGCGTTGTCGAATACTATCCAGATGAGACTCGTCCTCTAAAGCAGGGGTTCTCACCCCTTTTTCGCTGGCGTACCACTAATTCTAGTTTAACGCACTGATTGTACCACTAACCAAGTGCGTTCAGGGAAAATTTATTTATGTTAATATTATCTTTTGATTACATTACTTAGTTCGCGTACCACCAGTGGTATCGCGTATCATAGGTTGAGAAATGCTGCTCTGCAGGATTAAAATGTGTCTTAGGGTAAATAGGTCAGTAAGTTGGAAGGTTGACAGAAACTAGCTTCATATCATGCTCAGTTGTGCACGTCCATATTAGCGGCTTTAAATCCTTGGAATTAAACTTGTAATACGAGAGAGTTAGTATACCGGGACCGCTTTCTGTAGAAAAGGGGTTACAACTTTTGAAGTATAATTTTACTAACTGCTTCAAGCTTCATCTTAGGTGCCAGTTACGTTATTCTTAAACAGGGATATAAGTAGCCTCTATCTTCAGAACTCAAAAGTTTGGTGATTTTGTCGCTCGTCCTAATACCAAATGCCTGTTTTTATCCTAGCTATGACTTCACTTATCTATTTTCCTCACGTTTATATTTTACATAATTTGAGGTTACTCGGTGGTGTGTGTTGTATTATTGAAATGTTGCTGATTCCTATTTAGGGTTGTAGAGTTACCGTTATAATATAACAGTTACACTAATGAAAGGACATTTTGAAAACTATAATTGAATAAACATGTCACTAATACTACAAAATCTACATGAATCTGGTTCATGTTTTGGAAGTCGAAGTGGGAACTAAGACAGATGAAGAATAGAAGCTACGTACGTCAGATTTGTTACGTTGCTGATTGGAAATCTTCGAAGACAAATTTTACAATATAGGAATAAGTGCCAGATTGAAATTGTGCCTAAACACGTAAATATCAGACAGTAATTATTATTGTTAAAGTGAAAGAAAGTTTTGGGATTTTTTTTTTCGTTTCTGCTTAATACTTTTCTCTCGTCAGTTCGAATGTGGCTAAATAAGTGATGCACATAGAATATGAATGTAGAAAACGTCCTCTAAGACGTCTGCTTGCTTAACCGCGAAGCAGATTTGACGATATTATTAAAGTAGATCTTAGAAATGTGTGGTATGAGGATTGTAGAAAGGATGGAACTTGTGGTCGTTTGAGGGCCCTGATACCGGCCGCATTGTAGAAAATCCACGTGTTTTCATTTAATTAATTGATATAGTTTGTTACTAGGGGACTAAATTATCGTTGTTTAAACGTGTTTAAATACATTTCAAATAGGAATTCTCGATATGACACAGAATCGCCACAGGTTCGTGTATGTTACGTTACTGCGTGCCTTCCTTTGCTCGTTTATGGGCGAGAACATTGCATTCAACCTTCCTGAGCATCGGTTTTATAAGCGGTAGGGATTCCGTTCCACTTTGACTCCTGTCGACTATGTGAGGATGGGGTATGTGTGGTCAGCAGATGAGCAATGTGTGTGCGCGTGTTTCCCCATGCTTTCCCTTGCCTTCTGGCTGCTGCAGTGGACGTTGAGGATCGATACTGAGAGAGCACAGCAGTAGTGACAGAACTACTGTATGGAAGCAGCCAGCCCGACTTTGTATCAGTGGCGTGCATTCCGTAATTACCACTTTGGTTAGCTTGATGTTTCGGGACCACCTCCATAATTACTGTGCTCTAAGTAAGAAGGTGTCTGAGAAAGAGAAGGCGAAGGAAGAGGTCTGCACCCAATACGCACTTTCCAGGTAACAAACAGTGACGTGTAAGTATCGTAAAATATAAAAGTTTGCAGATCAGGATAAAGATAATCCAGTTTGTGTATGATTTGAGGACTTTAAAGGGTCAAAGGTCATCCTTTGTTTCTTAATCCATGTGCTCTGTAATTTTTTTAATAGTCTAGGACAGTGGTATTCAACCTTTTTTTGTTCGCGTACCCCCAGATATAATTTCTCTTCAATTTCGTACCCCCAAAGTTGTTGGTGTGTAATTCAAGTTATGCATAGTATATAATCTACATCTAAAATAAATTAAATTACTGATTATTCAGTGTTTACCATAAAATAATGTTTTTTTTAAATTTCACGTACCCCCTAGGATGTCTTCGCGTACCCCAGGTTGAATACCACCGGTCTAGGAGATACGTTTCTTTGAATGTGGTCGACATGTTGAATCCAAATACTTTAACATTTAAAAAATTCGTCCACTACAGATTCTGGTTTTTCGTACTTCTAAAATGTTTAATATACACACAATAAACTATAGCTACATATAATTAATTAAATCCGTAAGATGAAAGAGAGTCACTGAATTTAATTTAGTTTATAATTTACATTCTGGACGGTCATCATGTAGAATCAGAATTTGTAAAATTTTGCAGTTTTTATATTTGTAGCCTTTTCTATGTGTCTTCCATCTTATGCCGACGGTACGATGAATTAAGTGGATTACATAACACGAGAAAGAAGAATGAAGCCGAAGGGGGAAGAAACTTTGGTAGAAGGCGTGAGCACAAGAAAGCTGAACCCAAAGTCTTCTTGTCTTTGATGTTCTGGAGTTGGTGCTAACTTGAGTTGAATTATACATACAAGAGAAGAGGACAAGTTGGCCCGCTGGATAGATGATGAGTTTACTGCCATGGAACTGCTGCCTCTACTCTCGTGTCCTATTCAAGTTCACTGTGAAGGTTCCAAAACCGGTGCTTCATTTAATTGGCTTTGACTAACGACGCACTGTTTGTTGTACTACAATGGTCTCTGTGATATATCAGATGGTGTTCATTAATTTCAGATTGGAAGGGCGGTTATTATACCCCACTTTACGAAACTATCTGTAACAAAATGTCTTTGCTAGGCACTATTAAATAAAGTTCAGTTTAATGAAGGTACTTAGAGCAAGAAGGTCAAAGTAACGAAAACTTTCTTAGTACCACGTAACGCAGTCGTATTAAAACATAAATAATTTCGTACAACCTAAAGAATTTACATAACTCTGGCTGGTAACAAAGAGTGGTTTCCAATATTCTTTGTAAATACACCCTTAAAAGCTATAATTTTACCAAATGCCTTTAATTTCAACATCAATTTAAATTTTGATAATGTAAACAAAATGACGTTTCGAAGGATTTTCCTTCGTTCTAAGCTACTAAGGAAAGACAGCATCTCCTTTGGTCTCAGGAGACCGAGCTGCTGCACACATCGTCTCAGCAACGTTTAAATTTATTCCTGAGTCACTTACATTCTTTTAAAATATTTGTTTTATTTTCAAACCGGAAATAAGCTTTGAGTCCTCTTACTCTTTAGAAAATAGTATTAAAACGAGGTAAAACGCCAAAGAACTATGTGTGAAATTTCCGTATTGTGGCTGTTAATAGTAAAAACATGGTTCTTATACTTGAATAAAATGTCAATTGGACCCACAGGATTGTCGAGTTTTGTGGCCCGTAGATTCAAAACTCAGGACAATTGAAGGCATAGATATCAGAGGAACGAAGGAATACCAAATTTCTAGAAATTCAACCTATAGGCGGTGGCTTCGTGCTGTGTTACAATTCATGTCTCATGAAAAGTGTTTCGTACAGAAATGTTCTTTATTCAGGTACGTAAATCTCTGTCATCTTATTTAACAATCTTTTCAGAAGCTTCTCCTAGTTTTATTGTAAACATTGTTATTCAGAATTACGTCTACTTATTTGAAGCTAAATGGGACAATTTAGCATCTTGAGATCACACCATAAATAAAAAAAATAGCGTTTAAATATGTGCCGATAAAGCAAACGAGCGACATGTAAATTCTCATCAAAATGCAGAAAAAGTTCGGTCGATGTCTGGGGAAGTTGGGTAGCGAGTACAGGGGTTGGTCTACTCCATTTTGTCGGTCGGGTGGGATGGGATAAATATGAAGGCAGGCCGAAGGGTGTAATTACGGTGATTATGGTGGTGTTGACTCCAAGAGGGAAACGTACATCCGCATGCCTTTCCGTTAGACCCCCGTCGTCTTCCTGACACTAACCCCCACTGTCGCGGTTACCCCTACCTGCAACACATCCGTATCACAGCGAAATTTGCTTTATTGGAACATTTGTTCTCTCCTGAGTATAAGCAGTCAGAGTTACTATAAAATATTATAATTCACGGACTTTTCTTATCGTAGTAACATGAAATTAAAAAATAAACATTGGTGTAAACTTGAGGATAATATTAAAATGGAATCTGAGTAAATAGCGTGGGATGGTTTTGGACTGGGTTAATCTAACTTCGGATTCCGTAAAATGAATCAAGTTTTTCATTATCTACCTGAATTACCAAATTTCTCAAGGACTGTACTACGTTGAGTAAATTAGGAAACTGTAAATGATTACCTGTGTAGGCCTATTGTTTTGTGGTTATAATTTTGCTTGTTTCGCTGCTCCATGAAATTATTCGCCACAAGTGGCAACAATTAACCAGGCCCGTACATGAAATCTGTGCAGAATTTCACCATCCAATCCTCAGCAGCCTCTTTGCATAGACAGAGTGCCTGTTCAAGCTAGAGATGTACATATTGACTAGTACCTACAGTAGAATGCCAGACTGGTCGACCAGCCGTCCCCGTGGCAATCAAAACCGCCCCTCCTTACAACCCTACGCAATTAGCGGATTTGTGGTGGGATCTCTGTCCGTATTCACTTCGGCTATAGTGTACTATGATTATGTTCCAAATTTAGAACGTCAACATTTAATGCGAGTACGATGAGATAAGAGGCTACATTTGAGCCAGAGTCGGGCACTACGTAGTTCTGAAGGTAAAAACCTATCCCCCCCCCCTCACTATTCGGGGCTCTAAAAATAAATCCGCTTTCTTCGACGCCTTTTAATGAACGTGTTAATGCACAGGGTATTTTGGCGACTTGAAATTTCGCGTTATTTATCCCGCGAAAAGGCTTGAGCAAACAAAGACTAAGCTTCTGTTATTTCAAGAAAGCTCAACTTTCTCTTATTACGAATACGTGAATGCATTTGTCTTCCCACTGCTTCAAATGTATCTTATTCTGTTAGGAGAGGAACCGTATGCAAACAAGATTCTGTTTTGTTGCGGTGTGACATGGAACAAAGAGGGAAAGTTCTGCGGCTTGTTTCGACTGATTACGGGTGAATGCTAACCAGGTGGGATGGAGGAACCTGTATGATGGGAATAAAAGGGGTTGTGCAGAGAAAATTACAGGCTGAGTGCAGCCTTGATTAGAAGCAGAGTGAGATAAAAACAAAAGAGAGGTTAAACAGAGAGAGGAAATGAAATAATTAAGCTTAATGTTAATAAAAGGAATCTGAAGAGACGGTGGCAGCGAGAAATACAGATTTGACTTTGAAGTTGTCGTTCATGATTGGCTATGACATTCCGATCACGTGATCGAATAATTTCGAAATGTTTCAGCTTCTTAGAAAGAAAGGTTATAATCCATTCCCCATTATCTTTTATTTTAATTAGAAATCGTCAGACTTCGGAACTCTCAGTGCGTCGTATGACCTTTGTGTTGCAGTGTTGCATAAAACCGTTGCCTTGTTATTAAAAATCCTTCGCTGTCAGTGACAAAGAGATTTTAAAATTCCATTTCAGATTGAAATGGCTACGTAACTCAGAAATTTCAAAGTGATAAAAAGTGCCTCTGTACCGAAGCTCCGCCCCATGAAGACGTATGTGGCAATGGACGTAAACTTTATACATTCCTATTCTAGAGTGAGCTGAGTGGTCAGCTTCAATTTCAGCTGCTGTAACACGCGTGGAATAAGAGTTGAAAAGCACGTGGACGTGGATGGAGATTGTTGAAACCTATACAGGACTGAACTTCTGTTCAGTATCGGTGTTGAACGTAGTATTTCTCCCTATGATAAGACCATGTACTGAGAGTGATTGACAACAAAGTACTAAGAGGAATATATTATTACTTAAGAAAGAATAAGATGCAGGAGAAAGGCGAGAGCTACGTCCTCTCTCTCTCTCTCTCTCTCTCTCTTTTAAGTTCACATATTCTTCTCATCAGGGTGATGAAACTTGTCTCCATGATGATGGAGGCAGCAAAAGCCTGTGGAACGTCGGTAAACTTCTACCAGACTACACGGCGCTACAACCAGGAACAGAGCTATCTTCGATTTAATAGTTGTTATTATTTATATGTCATATTCCGTATTGTCTTCTAATTCACCTTTTTTTCTTTATAATATTTGTTTGTATCCAATTATTTATCATCACTATAAAAAAGTTTTATAAATTATAGATCATCGGCTCTTCTCTCTTGGGATTCACCATTAAATCAAAAGGGTTCTTACTGCAGCTGTGTCCAATTGTGTTTCGCTTATTTGCAGCAACAGAGGCATCCGCCCTTGCTGCTCGGAGGCCTGTTCCTGGTGCTGCCTTTTCTACCAGCAGCCAACCTCGTGGTCACTGTGGGCTTCGTGGTGGCGGAGAGAGTGCTCTATATCCCCAGGTGAATACACATTACACAGCCGGCTCGTTGCTTTCGTGAAAGATTTATTTGGTGTATCGTAATTATCTGTGGATCTTCTGGTTCCTCGAGAAACTTTCGTGCCTTCCCGTGAGTGCCAAGCTTGTTTGTATTTACCTTGGAACATTCGATTGGGACGAACGTAAAACTGTCGTAATTTTCACTTATTCAGAAAACAAGGATTACGTTTCGCCTTTAAATGAGTTCAGAGGCGTTGTTTCTCTGCCCAGCCTCGGGATGGTGCTGCTGCTTGTGTATGGCGCCCAGTTGCTTTGGGGCGCGTTTCTGCGCCAGAGACCTCTGCTGCTGTGTGCGGGGGTCGTACTGCTCGTCGTGTTCTGCGGACGAACTGTGGCCAGAAACAAGGACTGGGCATCCCGACAGGCGCTCATCAGGTGAGATCATCTTCATCGCATTTCGTCAAAGAATGGTGTTTCATCTCCACGGCACTTGGACAGGGCGAGCAGTGGTGAGCTGATTGCAGTGTGTGTGTGTTCCAGGGCGGGTCTGAATGCGCTACCACACAACGCCAAGCTCCACTACAACTTCGCCAACTTCCTGAGGGACACAGGACAGTTGGATCTGGCTACTAAACATTACAGAGAGGCGCTTCGGTGAGTGCAAATTTCGCTAGGAAACTTTCTACTTCTTTGTTCGATCCGTTCGATTCTCGCAAGTTATCGGGAATAGTTTCTACATCGACGTACTTGGTTCATGTTTTCTATTGTAACTGAGGCTATAGTAACTCCAACGTATAGAAGCCTTCTTGTGAAGCTAACAGTTGCTCAGGAAATCAGAAAGTTACCCAACTTTTATGGAACCTTGAAAATCATTACAGTTTTTCATTACTCCGCTACTAAAACTTATCCTGAGACAGATGAATCAAGTCGGATCCTTATATCCTACTTCTGTGATACATAATTAATATTAAGGCCTGTGTTTCCAATTTATCTACTCCCTTCAGATTTCTGTTTAACATTGTTCGTGCATTTCTAATTTCTATCATGCGTTTTCCATATTCGCCTATTTAATACTCCTTGAACCGATAACTTTAATAGTTACTGTAATATTTGGCCAAGGTTCCAAAAATTGCATTGAATGAAATTACACAAATTGGAGGAAACATATTTCAGAAATTATATTTGATGTTAGATATGAACTGGAAGAATTCTGGGCTGAAGTGTTTGTGATCACAGTAAATATTCTGACGAATTGAACTTTTTCAAAGAATTTCTCCTTCCTTTAACAAAGATTACTTCAGTGCGTGTAATTTCATCACCATAACTCTAGTGTATGCGTAGAGTGTTCCTTTACTAGAGGACGTAACTTGGTAATCTCAGACTGTTGTTGTGATCGTGGATTCGGAACCTCTTCATGAAATCATTCAAATCGATAACAGAAAGGAAACTCGTAATTTTTATTGTCAGTCATGCATGTATCTCTCCGATTTTAATATTATGAAGGTAATAACTTGTAATTACTCGCCTTTTATAACAAACCTAACCTACATAACCTGATCTAACCCAAGGTAAGCTATTCTAACATCACCTTTAATAATATTACTCAACCAAATTTAAGCTAGACTAAACTAAATCATACTTTCCGCCCATCTAATTCACCGTACTTAAATTTTTGTAGTGTCTCTGTGATTTTAAGAAACACGTCACTTCTAATTGGGAAGACAGATTAATTTATGAAACCGCGTACTTTCACCGCCTGAGACGAAAATAAGGCTTCCGTCTTTCCCCACACGAATTTACCGACGTATGAGCATACGTTAGACAGATGTCTATATTACATGTTAAATTTCGTATTATATTTACTGGTATAATTAAAAAATATGAAGTTAGCTTACAGTGTTTACACATTTTGTTCAAATATAAAATCAAACCTTCTGGGTAAAAGCTTGATCCTGCACCGCTTTCATTTAGCCTTAAGCCCACACAGATAATTAGGGACAAGAGCCATAAATTGATTCGTGTAATTCCACGCACCAGTGACTTTTTTCATCACTATAACGCTCTATAGCAGCTTGAGTGGTCCAAAATGGTATTTGGCATATACCACAATTGAATTCGCAAACATTAATAAACATTGTCTATTGTACTCAACTTCCCAATACCCCATTTCTATCCCTGAAGTAATTTTCATTTCATTTCATTTGCATTTTCACTTCGCCATGCGTCCGATTAGGGCTATAGGATATACCGCGCAGATAGTTCAAAATGTCACTATCAGCGGACAGCCAGACAGTGAAATCCTGAAGACTAATTATACAGGGTTGAATGGAGAGGGTGGATTATTTGATTGAGGCATTGATTACTCGTTCCCTGACCTCTTCCTACTATATTTAGAGAAACTATGCCATCAGCGCGCCACCACCGCATAGTCATATAACGTAGGAACAACCACAGAGTTATGTTTTATAATTCAACCACTTCCACAATAGCGTTTTACTGTATAGACGTTAATGGTTTTTCGAGATAGAATGAGGGCAGATTCTTGTCGTTGTCTGTTGGAAATTATTACGCCATAAGGCACAATCCTGAATGGAATATGCCACGTACATTACTAAGACCTCTACCCCTATACTGCAAAATCATCCGCTCTACATCGGGGTATCTCTTCACGCCCAAGTACGAGAAACCATCTTAAATCATTTAAACATTTATGCTCGTGACAGAATTGGGTGCTTCTCTCTCATAATCCCCCAGTATTCGTAGAGGCTCTATGAAATTTATATAAACTTCAAACTGTGTGTAAGGCTAATGTATGCGTAACTTCTTTTCTGTTTTATATTAATGCTAAATTTATTGCTTATACGTTAAATTGGAACAACAGATAACTTAATATACCATTCGATATTGCGTGTGCTGGTCATCTGTGTGTTTCTAAGAAATATTCACTGTTTGTCACAATCGACTGTCCTCTTGACGCTTTCCTCCATCATCGCCCTGATGATGGAGACAGCAACGACCTCTGAAACGTTGGTAAATTCCTTTAACACTGCGTGGAGCTGTAACCAAGAAGATATCCATCTTTACTATTAGATTTCAGTCTGGGAATTAGTTTCACTGCTACGTAAAGTCGGCGTAGTAGTTTTTGGCCGGTGGAGCTGGCGGACGGGCCTACTCCGTGTACCTGACGTGGCACGGTCAGTGTATGTCTTTTGTTTGGGCACAAATGACTCGCTCCTAGCCTTCGCCTTGAATATTCCACCAGCCAAAAACTACTCCGCCGACTATAGTAAATGATTGCTCTGATTTAAGCTAGAACTGAACTTACGTTTATGGTCTTGTACCGAGTTAATCGTTCTATAAAAGTGGTACCACGTTGTTGAGGAGTAGAAACCTGTTTTATAACAAATACTTTCAGTGCATAGACATATAAGACAAAGTCGCCTCCTAACACTGTTCCTTTGTCATCATTACTATATCTCACAGAGGTTATATACGTATTCTGTCACCTTGTCTGTCCCTTTTCGTTCTTATTCTTGAAAGGAAATTTCCACTGCCTTTGAGGATGAATCTTTTGTTACAAATAATGATCTTCGTAAAAGTGATCTCATTACAAATTCAGTGAATGAATTGTGAGGCATCCAATTAAATCTAGAGAATTACTTAGCTAATTACTAACTCAGAATCTGTGAAGAGGAACCTTTGATGTCATGCTTTAAAATATTCTGTTAATTGAAATGTATATTAGTAGAAATGTTGCATAGGGATGAAGCAGGAAGTTCTGTAGAAATTTATATCTTGCACCGCGTTCTACAGAAATTATAGCGGTAAGTCTCTGAGCCTGCCCTCGGAAGGTACCCCGTTAAAATCTCTGCAAAATAACCGGCTACTCTGACAAGGGCTTTCAATGTTTTTTTCTTATTCTGCCTAGGCGCGTGCCTGGATACTGACATTAAATGGGCCACAGCCTTCTAATTTTAAATATTTACTTTCTCGCCATTCGTGATTATTTACCCGTGTCGTTCGATGCTATATATCCCATGCAATTGAACTAGCTTCGTCAAATAATCCATAATTGCTTAATTATATTGTATGAATAATCCTCTTTTCTCAGTTAATCCTAAAATAAAATAAGGAGTTAATTTAACTTTCCTATTAAACGAACTTTAATACCGACAAATTTTGAGTTGTCGGTGTTGTACTTAGGTAATATAAGTTTATGATTCAACAATAAAATGCAGTTTGAATCAAGTTGGTGTGCTGGTCTCACGTGCGAATCCATTTAATTCATGCAAGTTATTTTCATTGTTTCTCCTAACACCATCTCCTGATCATCCCTTATAGAATGAAGTAAATAAGTGTTATTTACCGCCAGGAACTGTAGGGTTAATGGTAGATAAACCGAAATTTCCGCTGTGGTAGAGATACATGAGGCGAGATGGAAGAATGACTTGCCGAGAGGTCGTAAGGGCAACATTTTCTTGTTCTTGAGACTTAGGGATTGAATCAACTGGGAGGAACGAGCTACTCCACCCAGTGACACATTTATCGTTATTGTCTTGTCCGGGATGAGATAACAATTGGTTGTCACGTCCAGCTGCCAGTAGCAATGGCAACTTTCTGCCTCCTCCGTGGCAAGCGCTCACTGCCCATTGTGAGCAAAAGAATCAACGCCATTAAAAGGAAACGTCCTGTCTCCCACCACCCATTCCGGGCAAACAAGGGATGAAAAGAAGAAGGGTAGAACAGGAAGAGAGAATAAAGTGTGGTGTTGTAGAAGAAGTAACACTGTTTCGATGAAGATTACAAATGATTCCGAGGAAATATTTGTTGATTGTTAAGTTGTTTAACGAAGAGTTATCAACTACGTAAGTTTTGTTGCGTCTTGAGGTTGGATGGTTACTTTTAAATTGGAAAGAAGCTATCGTTACATATTTTAAATGTCCTATTGTAGCACGCTTATAGAGGGACTGAGAAAAACAACGGAAACCTGAATCATATTCTGGTGCCCCTCCTCCCAATAAGGTTGTGCTTCAACATTTGAGCCAAGTGTTTTCGTTGACTGGGCACTTTATTTTATTTCTTACACATTTACCATTAAAAAATAAATATTTAAATGACAGTAGAACCAGTTGTATTTTCCATGTCTGTTCTTTTTTCTGTAATGCGTTGTCCTCTGTACGTGATGTCCTTACGACGAGCACGTCTTCCGTATTACAGCAAATTGTCAAGATTTAATTTTTACGTTGAGATCTGAACTGAAACAGGTTAGAGAACAGCTGAAGGAGGAAATAAAAATAATATTTAATGTAAGCCTACTTCGGAGAATTTGAGACCGTTATCTGTGATCTACATATTAATTCGCTGGTTATGCAACTCTTGATTTTTCAACTGCTGCTGTTTATAGAGTAGAATACGGTGAGAAGTTATGAATGTTGAATATTATGGAGGGCCGCAGGTACAACGTTTACCCACCTGCCTTTCAGTCATTTTCTACTACTATCAGAACTGTGTAAGAGCATCCTGGCACCCGCAATCATGCACAGTGAATGTGGCAGCCACTATGTTTGTCGAAACATCGGAAAACATTCAGCACTCGGCCGAATTACCCTCAAAAGCTCTAATTGCATAGGCTGTTATCTGTTTCTGTCGAAGGTGACAAGTTGAGATTAATTATAACTAGAAATGAAGTGTCCTTGATCCCTGTGCGACCAGATACTTGGAAAATGGTTTCGAACCTGGATACTCTGCATATTGAACATGTATGTCAAATGTAAAACTTTGTATGTTTATTATTCATTAATGCTTCGGGCATGTTGTTACCATAACATTGCAATTTTGGTATATAGTTTGTACTAACCGGCACACATAAAGGGCGATTCCATTTTTGCATAATGACATCGAGAGGATAGTAAACAAAATTACTAACTTCCAGAGCGGGAGTGTATTTCAAATAAAGTACCAACTCAGTGGTGATGGAAGACTCCGCATTGCCACAGCCGCAAATGTTGATCTCAAGACTAATTTCAGTTAGTAATTCGTGTTATGAAGATGGCTGTCTTCTGGGTTGTAGCGCCGTGTGGTCTGCTAGAAGTTTACGAACGTTGCAGGGGTCCTTGCTGTCTCCATCATCGCCCTGACGATGAAGGCAGCAAGGACCCAGAAGACAGCCACCTTTAGACTCACCACCGTTAAAACCTCAAATCCTATATAATTCGTGTTATTTTAAATTATGAAATGATATAATTTACTTTTTCAACTCTTTACCATTTAATCTCATGGAGAAGGCCTGCTTCTTAAAATAAAATTACGAAGAAAATGAAAAATAATAACCCCCCCCCCCCAATGTGTTTGTGAATTTGACATCAGAAACACCTTTCACGTTTTCTCTTAAGGTTTTTCATGTTTCAGGGTAATGAAATTATTTTCTCCTGCAATATCTTGACATATTAAGTCGTCAGGTTATGTCTTAATTGTCGTTCTTGAAGTTGATATTTACTATGGAAATTTGTAATAAATGAATGCATTAATTTATAAATTAAGGTGGGCAATAGAAGAGCCCAAAAGTATAGAGTTACTTTTTATTTTACAAATTTTTAACCCCAAAATATCTTGCTGTTTCGTAACGAATTCTTTGAAATAGGTATCACTCTTCAGTCCAAAGTGGGAACAGGAATAAGATATTTCCTCTTTCATTTCAATCATCTTCATGTTTCGTGGGTTGTGGGGGGGGGCTGTGTTTGCACTGCTCCGGCTGCAGTACTGTAAGTTGTTGGCAAATATTTGTTTCCAGGGACACTCTTACATATCGTGTTTTATTGTCGATTTTATTCTTGCGTAGGAGACTACAACATTAAAAATAATAGAGGTCTACGTTTGTTTACATGCTTTAGCAACAGACACAATGAAAGAAATACAAGAACTAAGCAAACATTATGGTAACACGTGCGTCCTCTGTTCGTTGCGTTTAGTTGAATTGAATGGCCAACAGAGTGAGTGGTAGTGTGCCAGTAATTACGCTGGCTGCTTCGTATTCCGGTGGTCCCGGGTCTATATCTCGCCAGGATACTAAAATATTAGTATGTACATAACACAACAGCAGAATATTATTACGTCATCTACAAATTATCTTATTTAAGTCGTCAGATTGTTGGATATTTTACTTCCACGTGGCCGAATTGTAGAGTAGGATTTGTCACTGCCATTGTGTATGTAGGTTTTACGATAAAAGTTGTCTTCACAACGTTCTAAGAGCAGATATCCAAGTTAAATAGGCATGGAACTTGTGTTTCTAATTTGCAAAACATCTTTCTTATTCTAGTTTAGCCATTGTCTCACGATATCCCTGTCAGTTTACTAGAAATGTGCTCGAAATAATGCAACATTGTGAGAAGTAACGAGACGTTATCACGCAACGCAGAACTAACACTGACAGTTTTTCTAAACCTTCTATGGACTTAAGGTAAGACTGGGCAACTGTACATAAAGAACAAAAATAAACAAGTGCACTTGTTCTTTTATTCTGGTACAGAGTTCATATTTAAGGTTTTGCTGTTTTAAGTTTGTGGGGAACAGTGGTTAAAAGAATATATTATTATCAATGTCAGATACGAATATAAGTCGTGTTTGTTTCTGTGCTTACAGCCTTAAATATTACGATTTGACAGATTTCCACGTAGTCTTGTTGAATTTTATATAAAAGGACTTAAATGGTGCGGGACTTTAGTTTTGATATTAGCAATTATTTTGCGAATTATTGGGAACTAAATCTATGTACTAACAGAAAAATTCTTCCGACTTAGTTAAAGTGCACCAAGCCTGAGGTCCAAGTACTGAGCATTTATATTAATGGCGAAAATTTATTTATTTATATAAGTCTTAATCTAACCTAGAAGCCAGACTCTTTTGCAAATTACGTGGAGCGTTTCTCTCTCTGGCCAGCTGTTCCATTTTAAGAGTTTATTTTTGCTTTCTTTCCGTCTAATATTACTCTAATAATGATACGGTGCTTTCTTCTACGACCTGTGAACTTACCGAATACCTGGGTAGTCACTTCGCCTTGAATATGGAGACATCTCTGTAACGTCGGTAATACAGCGTACATGTGCACGTTGCATCACCCAGAAACAGGCTGAAGGATTGCACTTCATAATTCACAAGGCAGATTAACAAAATATTAACAAAAAGAGGACAGTTCAGACAATTGTTAAATAACTGAACGACCTTTATTTGTATTTGGGAGGTCCCGCTTTAAAATCTAGATCCGCAAACCAGCTATACGGACTGAACTTCTATTGTTTTCCTCAGTGATTCCAGACATATGACGGGATTACACCATAGATTAGGTTACAACCACTCCATAACCGTATCCTTTTTAATTCCTTATCATTCGACGTCATATAACTTGAGCTGCTAAATTACAAAGTTCATCTAAATGATATTTAAAATGTCAGTACCTACCTCAAAGCAAACACAATGAATCACCATTACAAAGATCAGTTGGTAAATTCTGTTTAAGGGAATAATCGCTGTCTATTCTGAGATGTCATATATTTCCCATAAACACATTCTGTGAGCAAAATGCTGACTTATATAGTAGGTGGTACGTATTGTTGCAAGTGTCTTTAATAGTCAGTCGGAAACGCGGAAATTATGTGCCGCTAGTTCCAAATTTATTGCATTTTGAGCCTCGGTTTTGGAATCTGCGCCTTGAGTTCTGTGTGCGGGAGCAGAATACAAGCTACAAGTCAGCCAGAGCAACGGCATGTGACACGAAGCTCACGTTTGTAGCTACAGATAACCCTATTGTCATACCACTGCCGCTGAGGTCATGCTTCGGGTATCGTCCTTGCATGCTGGACCTCAACTTCCAGTGGTGCCCTGGGGTCGACCACGCGATGTGCGTTGGCCTTAGGTAGCGGCTGGTTAGGCATTAGAACTCTGTCGACTGAGATGTTATGGCTGCTACTCACGAATGGGATGCTTGAGAACAGTGGCGGATAACTCATCTATACCCTCTTGTTTCCTTTAGTCCTCTCTGCCAATGGGTTTATTGAACGTCATGTAAGTTAACAATGCATGAAGCCACACAGTCCCAAACCTGTTTCGATGCGTTCTCGTTATTTACAATACTGAAATGTTCATTACCGTGTTCACGAGATCCTGTCACTTGATTCTAACCTGAGCCAGTTAAATTTGCTTTATGTTCTCTCTGAATTTTTGTTTAAAATCCTTTTTGATAATATTGCCTTGCCTACGCGTAGGTCTGCCGTCTCCCATGCGATGTCTACACTTCGGGTTTCCCAATTATTTTTTTTTATGCATTTCTCATATTCCGGTGCATACTTGGCGTACATGGGCCATCGATGGTATTCGTCTTGAATCTTTCACCATAATAATTATGCAGGCAAGTGACCGTCGTTAAATATATTACAAAATAATAAATCTTCGTTCTCCGAAGAAATCGTGTTTTGCCAAATTTTAATTATTGTAGAATGTAAATATCTCTTTAGCCTGTAACTACAGCTTCCTTAATACAAACATACATAGGCCCTCGCGTCAGAATGGTTATCGTATCTTCTTCTTATTCGGGAGGACCAGGGTTAAAATTTCGGTCTGGATACCGTCAGTCTTGACTGAGGTCGTTCTTGGTATATTTCAGTAAACGCTAGTAGAGTGTTTTAATTCGGCCACGACCGCTTCTTCCCACTTTCTTTTCTAACTCATTACGTAGTTATCATTTAATGAGTCAGTGTTTTGTCAACTAGCATTGTCGTTTAATAACCATAAATTATAGCTTTTCATTTTCATTTTTGTAAGTCTTGTTCTGTTCCTAAAATTTAATATCGACTTTAAGCCACTGTGGTCAGTTCTATGTATGTTTTATTAATTGCGTAGTGAACATTAAAAATAGTTTTCAGATTAAACTGGTTTTGACAAATCTGTTTTAATTGGCTCTGAAGATTCTACCTCCGCCACTGCTGAATATAAGGGGTATAAATATGTAGTGGACTGAATGGGGATCCGTCTAACCTGCCGTGACAAAAGAAAACCACGAGAGTTGAAAGAAAGAAGGAGGTAAAAAATAGAGAATTAAAGAGGTGGAATTGTGCAATAGAGATTAGCTCTAAAATCTGAAGATAAGAATATAAATTTCGTGAGAAATAACAGTAAATTATCTCGTTTTGGAGGTTTAATGACTGGACTAATTGCCGTTCCTGTCAAAAGTAATTAAACATTTCACTTATTTCGAGCCACCGGTACATAATTAAACCCGGTTTCTTGAGTAATTATCTTTATTCTCTGTACATTCATATGCATAAAGTGCTTAAAACATGTTCTAAATAGTTCCAACAGATCGGTCCTTTCATTATAAAATATCGTTTTTAAACGTCTCACAAATCATGTCTCGAAGTGTAAATTCATAAATATGAATTAAATATATTAACATGAGTATTAAATACGTAGCATGTGAGGATGCGGGCTGGATTCAGGATTTATTCCAGCGGCCGGCTTTTGTTAAAACGAGTGCGAACCCTTGGATTCCGTAAGAGGCAGGGAATTTCTTGACTAGCTGAACAACTGTTAGCTTTCCAAGAAAGACTCCTCTCCACGGAGTAGGTTAAATGTGTTCTTTTTGATTATTCGGCAGACTGTGGCCAACTTACGCAAGTGCCCACAACAACCTGGGCACACTCATGACGGGAACTGAAGAGGCGGAGAGCCACTTCCTGGAGGCCATCCGATATTCCCCCAACCACGTGAACGCGCACTACAACCTGGGGCAAGTGTACCGGTGAGTGACAGAACGCTAAGATAAATAACTTCAAGACTTCTGTTATCAGAACTCTTATGTGGATTCTGTGCTTTAAGACAGATAACAAAGTATGCAACCGGTATCGAAATATTTCTTATCGATATATAAACAAAATCCCTCAAAAGGTTGGTAAATACCAGAGTCCCTTCGTAAGCAGATATTTTGAACCATTTATTATCAAAATAAAACAAGTCTTCATGTCGCCCTTCTATATTTTCTGAGGCGGTAATGAAGAGCACGTTAATCCTATTTTATAATCTGTGCATCCCTGCAACTGACATCAATGTTCAGCACATTGAATCTCAACATTTCCGAATACAAATACAACACGTAATTACAGCTGGAGTACATCGTTAGAACAAGAATGCCCGAAACAATAGGCCCGGTAATTGTAGTAGTGGCCGCCACTCGCTTGCCCTTTCGCCGTTGTGTTTATTGGGAGATTTTCCATTGTGCAAAATGACAAACCAAATTGGATATCTGAACGCCTAGTGCGTGTCTCCCAGTTCCGCGATCTTTTAACGAACCATTTAATTGGGTCTCTGGATCTGTAGATTTTTAAAGCGGATATTCTATTCATTTATTGTAACTATGTTCGTGTTTGAGTAGTTTCATTCCAAAATATATATTATAATGTTTCTCTGTGGAGATCGTCCATCGGGAATGAGGAGCATTTTTCCAGGGCGTCCCTAGTGCCGGCGATGAAACTTTACTATTTGTATGGGAGAGACGCCATACTTTGTACTGAACAAAGAACATAAGTACGCCTAGCATTCAGTCTTTAGTAACTTCGATGTTCACATTTTACAACAGAATCAGAGCATTCAGGTGGAAGGTCTACAAACACATTTTCAGAACTTTTTTTCCCAGCACTCTGTGTTGGATCACGTAGTAGTGATACAACAGATTTGCCTTTGAAAGAAGAAAACAGATTGAACGCAGCGACGCATGAACAAGACTGTTCAACGTTTTAGCCTCAGCTACTCGCAAAGCGTGTCTGTGAAATTATTTGTGACATCTCTTACGCATTTTAAGAATTACTTTTGTCTGGGAAACTGCCTCTGTGTGTAAATCTCCCGTAATTACTTTATCTGAATTTAATCTGTTCTAAACTTTTTTTCGTAAGTGTATTTTTTATTTACATACAAATATTTTTTTAGTAAAAGCAGCCATTTTAGTTATTGTGGGTTGCCACCTCGACAGGGTATCAAGTTACGTAGGAAAATTTAGAGTTAGATGACGTTTGACTGTATTGCAACAGCTGCCATTACTATGTAAGACTTAAGGTTCTCACAGCGGTGAGTATGAAGATTTCCGTCTTCTGGGTTGTTGCGCTGTGTAGTCTGGTCGATGTTAACCAACGTTTCAGAAGTCATACTGCCTCCGTCATCAGGACGCAGTATGCAGGAGGCAGTATGACCTCTGAAACGTTGGTTAACATCGACCAGACTACACAGCGCAACAACCCAGAAGACAGAAATCTTCATACTCATCGCACTGATGATGGAGGCAGTATGACCTCTGAAACGTTGGTTAACATCGACCAGACTACACAGCGCAACAACCCAGAAGACAGAAATCTTCATACTCATCGCACTGATGATGGAGGCAGTATGACCTCTGAAACGTTGGTTAACATCGACCAGACTACACAGCGCAACAACCCAGAAGACAGAAATCTTCATACTCATCGCACTGATGATGGAGGCAGTATGACCTCTGAAACGTTGGTTAACATCGACCAGACTACACAGCGCAACAACCCAGAAGACAGAAATCTTCATACTCATCGCACTGATGATGGAGGCAGTATGACCTCTGAAACGTTGGTTAACATCGACCAGACTACACAGCGCAACAACCCAGAAGACAGAAATCTTCATACTCATCGCACTGATGATGGAGGCAGTATGACCTCTGAAACGTTGGTTAACATCGACCAGACTACACAGCGCAACAACCCAGAAGACAGAAATCTTCATACTCATCGCACTGATGATGGAGGCAGTATGACCTCTGAAACGTTGGTTAACATCGACCAGACTACACAGCGCAACAACCCAGAAGACAGAAATCTTCATACTCATCGCACTGATGATGGAGGCAGTATGACCTCTGAAACGTTGGTTAACATCGACCAGACTACACAGCGCAACAACCCAGAAGACAGAAATCTTCATACTCATCGCACTGATGATGGAGGCAGTATGACCTCTGAAACGTTGGTTAACATCGACCAGACTACACAGCGCAACAACCCAGAAGACAGAAATCTTCATACTCATCGCACTGATGATGGAGGCAGTATGACCTCTGAAACGTTGGTTAACATCGACCAGACTACACAGCGCAACAACCCAGAAGACAGAAATCTTCATACTCATCGCACTGATGATGGAGGCAGTATGACCTCTGAAACGTTGGTTAACATCGACCAGACTACACAGCGCAACAACCCAGAAGACAGAAATCTTCATACTCATCGCACTGATGATGGAGGCAGTATGACCTCTGAAACGTTGGTTAACATCGACCAGACTACACAGCGCAACAACCCAGAAGACAGAAATCTTCATACTCATCGCACTGATGATGGAGGCAGTATGACCTCTGAAACGTTGGTTAACATCGACCAGACTACACAGCGCAACAACCCAGAAGACAGAAATCTTCATACTCATCGCACTGATGATGGAGGCAGTATGACCTCTGAAACGTTGGTTAACATCGACCAGACTACACAGCGCAACAACCCAGAAGACAGAAATCTTCATACTCATCGCACTGATGATGGAGGCAGTATGACCTCTGAAACGTTGGTTAACATCGACCAGACTACACAGCGCAACAACCCAGAAGACAGAAATCTTCATACTCATCGCACTGATGATGGAGGCAGTATGACCTCTGAAACGTTGGTTAACATCGACCAGACTACACAGCGCAACAACCCAGAAGACAGAAATCTTCATACTCATCGCACTGATGATGGAGGCAGTATGACCTCTGAAACGTTGGTTAACATCGACCAGACTACACAGCGCAACAACCCAGAAGACAGAAATCTTCATACTCATCGCACTGATGATGGAGGCAGTATGACCTCTGAAACGTTGGTTAACATCGACCAGACTACACAGCGCAACAACCCAGAAGACCGAAATCTTCAGCTGCCATTACTGTTTCTCTGAGTTGAGCTTAATCAGTGTTCAAATTTCTGTTTAACTCTTCGCCAGTTTTGTTTCTGTTCTGGACCACATTATAAAAGCTTTTATCCTTGAGGTTTCAATTTTGTTTACAGAGAAAGGCTGATGTAGTTGTTAGTATCCAGTTAAATTTGATAGTGACTTGAAAGCCGAATTGAATAGAACTAAAAGGCATGTGAAGTGTTACACTATTTACGTAAGCAAGAATTACAACGTTGATTGCAGCCATTGTGTATTGACAGTGGAGCACGCGAGATGAGATTCAGGATTCGTCTACTGAATCGTTTGTCGTCCTTACAACTGTTTTATCTCTGTCTGATCTTATCTCGCGCAAACTTACTGAGTGGGCGTGGTAAAACAGACTCATGATGAGTGTTTGAGAACCTGTCTTGGTTCTGAAGTATTTCAAACTCCTTGAATTGGAAGACACGTGTTACGTATTTTGAGAGAGTTTTGCTATAGAGATGAATGTAAGCAAAGAAGACACTAAATGTTACATGCTTTCAAGACATTAAATATTGTTTTGTATTCGTTGTATCTCGACGTCCACACGAAACACATAAATTTACACATGTTATTTACAAACACTTCATAAAATACTTGATACTTCATTATGCATTCCTTGTACATAATGCATGAAATAAATGCACACGTGTTCTTCCGTCAGTCTGCTTCCATTACAAACATGTATAAACAAAATGCTTTCAAAATCTGATTTTCCATTGCTTCTTATGTCGCAAAATGCTGTGTTTGTATATTCACGTGTTTACATCGTGAGAAAGGTGACATTTTGGCGCTCGTATTATGGCTTTACTGACGTCGCCGATAAATATTACGTGCTCAGAAACTGAGTCTCTTGACATCAACTGTTATTTAATCGCGAAAGCCAAACCATAAATTAAACTCACTATACCAGACATGACATTTTTATATTTAACAGCAATGGAATTCCTCAGTCGCATTTTGTAGTCCACGTGTAATCCTAAATCAAAAGATTGGACGACTTCAATTGTATGGACTAATACCTATTAACATGTCATTTAAATTAGATGAATCTTGATTCCGATAACCTGTCGGATCGTAGCAGGAACACGCAGGCTGCATCTCTGGAATTCTTGTGTTCTAATCGTATCGTAGTAAAACTTACATTGGTAACAAGACGGTCTGATCTAGATGTTTCAAGTAACTTCAACAAGCAGAGTGTTGAGAAGGTAACAACCCCTCAGCTACTAATCCTGATCTGATGAACCGAGTACGTACCAAAAAAAAAAAATTTAAACCATTTTAATATTATCTTCCATTTTACGTATATTTTGAAAATATTCTCTGTACTCCTATGAAAAAACGGGCTGTGGACATTTTCAAGGAGTGAGCGGGTGTCTGTAAGACGGTAAGTGTCTGCAGTGTGAGGAGTAACCACGTGTCTCTGGGACTATCTTCCTCTTCTCTGCAGGATGTTGACTGTTTTGAGTGTTCTCAGGATAACTTGTCCAAAGTATGTACCATGAGTGGCCGATTGACCCATTGTAAACTAGCTGAGTCATTGTCTGCAATGTGATGAGTGTCTGAGTGTCTCTAGGATGACATACTCAGAATCTGTACGGCCGTATTTACCCCAGTGTCCAAAGTACGAGGAGTGACCGCGAGTGTCTTGTCCTACAGTAAAGTGAACCGCACCGAGGATGCCGCCCGCATGCTGGAGCGCTGTGTGCGTCTGGACGCGGCTTACGTCCCGGCCTACCTGCTGTTGGCGCGGCTGTACCAGGGTCAGGAGGGACGTGACCCCGCCGTGGGGCGTCTCCTGCGTCACGTGGCGCGCCTGCAACCCAATAGCCCGGACCACCTGGCCGATCTAGCCGCCTGGTTGCACCGCCAAGGTGAGGCTCACAGCATGCACCATTTTATTGCTGTCCGTAACACTGTACCGCACCGACAGCAAAACATTTGTTTGCATTTGACAGATTCTGTTTCTACCCGCTTTCAGCAAAATATCCTGAACGCTTAGTTCATTGTTTCCCCACGTCCACCTTGTATTGTGTGTCTCCTGTTGAATATCAACGACAACGCTGAACTGTTGGGGACTCTGAAGATGGCCTTATTTTGGGTTTTTGCGTCATGTAGTCAGGTAGAAGTTCCTTCCTTCACCAGAGATTTCTAGAGTGAGCAAATAGAACAGGATGAGATGTTAGGAACATGTAGTACGCACGGGAAGGATAAACACGTACACAAATTTAATTAAGACATTTGAAAGCAAGAGGGCACGTGGCCGACCAAGGTGTAAATGGGAGCATAATATTAAAAAGGTTTATAAGAGTAACATTTGTAGATTTAGGCTGGATTCATTCGGCTCAAGGATGGGGCCCAGAATCGGGCTGTAATAAATTTTCGTGGTTTTATAAAAGATGGGGAATTTCTACACCAGATTAACTACCATCGACTCGGCTTTTACTTCTGAGTTGAAAATACCATATAACACCTTAACGCCTAAACTACGTAAAAGTGCAGTAAACTCGGGCTAAGTGCCAGGTCAGAGGTGAAATCCCAACTGAGAGCCGATTTTATAAGCTTGCCAGTTGGTTGGACCTCTCGTTTACCTCAGGGACCGTGACAGATGAGTATGGATCATCGTTGGAATGATGATTGATGGACCTGGAACGATGTTCGAGGAAGAAAAACGTTACCAGACGCCATTTTCTCCGCCATAAATCATATGTGGCTTTTCTGGATAACATTCGTTATGGTACACCTGTCTTATGACACATTGAGAATGTTACTATAGCAACTCTTAAGATTTAAAACTTGTAATTAACAAGTTAAAATGTATATCTTTTTCGTCATTTTTAATTAATTTTAGAGACAACGAAAGAACTCCTAATTCCTTGTATAAGCCAGCACACCTTGTCTACCAGTCCCATTTGACCATTTTGTTGTATCTCTTTCAAAATAGCGCGTCCTTTATGAACATTTTGTCAGTGCTGAACACCACATTATTCAATATTTGTTCCTTTCTAAGAACTTTCGTAACAGAAATCGCAAAATTGTATCTATTCCTTTTTCCATGGTTTTCTGTCCGTCCGCATGAGAATTCAAGAAACGCTGAACGAACGCGAAAATGTACACTCAACCTTTTATCCGATAAGGATCTTGTGTGAGCCTCATCTTAGTTAATTTATCGACACAGTTTAAATTCTTTTTTCACCTGTAGGTTTATTCTTTCAGGTCGCTATTGGGAAGCACTGACGTACTATAAGAAAGCCTTAGCATTTTCGACTGCCCATCGGCAGTCGTTATTGGGAGCTTCTAGAATACTTAGGGCGAGGGGACAGTGGCCCAGAGTGTATCAGCTAATGACCAGGTAGGTTGCAACATTCATTCAAAGGCAATTGGGTATAAGACTGAATATTTATGTATTAGATCCGGAGTTCTCAACCTTTTTTTATAATGCCGTGTTAGACGATAAAAACACGTTCGGATTATAAAGTGCTCAAACCAATATGAGGCAGACAACCTGGCGTATTACAGTTGCCCCGTAGCATTGGTTATCAGGGAATGGAGCCTGAACCAATTCACGTCGAGATTTTGTCTGTGTTTCGCACCTGAGTTTCATAAGGTTGTTACCCTCTACTCCTGTGTCTTCCGAGTGGTCTCCTTTTCTTCAGACTCTGCAGTCAAAATTTTGCATGTATTTCTCATCTCCCCACGCGTGCTACATGCATCACTCATCTCTCTCTCTCTCTCTGTCTTCTTCTTTCTTTCTTTCTTTCTTTCTTTTTTTTTTTTTCATCGTGATATTATCTGCAGAAGAAGATAAATTATACAGTTTGTCCATCCGCCCGTCACTTCGACTGTTTTAGATTCAAATATTCTCCTCAAAAACCTGTTCTTAAACACTCGAATTTTATGTTATTCTCTTCGCCCCTACGCAAAAGGAGGTAAAATTATAGCGCTGTTTATTTTAATCTTTATGTGTTAGATAGCAGGCAGGAAGACAAAGGACTCTGAACTTCGCGATAGCAAGCATTTCGCGAATTTAATCTGCCATTAATTTTATCGTAGGTGCAATTTTGATTTTTATCATTAATAATATTACTTTGTTATTTATGTAATAGTATTAGTATTGAAATGCGCAAGGAATTCGAGTGGAAATGAACATATAGCATCATTTCAATTTTAAAATTCTGTCTTGGAAGGAGCGCCCAAATACCTCTCATTTTCCGTTTAGATTGATCCCTTCTTACGTAAGCTTCAAGAACTGAACGTGGCATGACTCGACAAGGAATTGCAGGAACTGCTTCGACTTCCTGTCTTCCTGTTTCGTCCCTGCCCGTGTGCTGAGGTGACATTCTCTCCCAGTACCTACTTTCCAGTTTTGGGTGGTTTAGACAAGCAATTAAGAGAAAGTTGATTGGTTTTGTACAGATTCACAAACATAATTAGCTGTTGACGTAAATAACGGCTTCTTCATTAGAAAGTTTTGAGTAAAGCAAAATGTCGTCAGAAACCGCTTCTTTAATGATATTCCAGTTATTAAAGGGGAAGGGATTAATTTGTGAAAGTATTATCAACACGTAATTTTCCATTCTTTATGTTGGTTCCACTCGTCATTATTTTGTGGATAATTCTAATTTTAAAAATAAATATTATAAACCTTAGGCCCACAGTACTGGATCCCACGAAGTGAATAAGATTTAACTCAGTGGTATTACATCTCTAATTACGAAGAATAAATCGTGGAAGATGAACTGGTCCGATGACGTAACATGAACGGGATACGTACAGAATCTTAGTCGGAAAATGTGAAGAGAAAAATCATTTGGAAATGCATGATCCTTAAACAGGGTCCGGTTGGGAATTTTTTTTAACAATTTTGGTTCCATAAACGGCAAAGAATTTCTTTGTACGGTGTCAGATAATGTGGAAAGAAGGTTATGACTAGCAGGCAACAGTTTGAATACACACGATATATCTCTTATCAAATGTTATTAAATCGATTACCATTTTTTAACAAGATTGTTTAAGAATTCTTGCATACGTGCCTACTAGCCTATTTCATCTGTATTAATTTGATCACTGTAACAGTCGAGCATTTGGTGAAAATAAAAATCACGCACCTCCTTATTTTGCATTTTCCTCCGTCTGAGGACGTTACTATAACGGAACAGGTTTAGTTACGTGATTTATGATGATATTAACTGTGCGGATTTGTAGGCATATTATGCCTTAATACAGTGTACTGCAAGATATCGCACGCTAGAGCGTCAGTTGTCTCGAATGAATGTGTAAGTCAGCATTCAGAAGGTGATCTTTTTGTGTTACGTGAAGGAAACTTTGCATTGCAAGTTCCAGGCACCGGAAATGTAGCGTGGAATTGCTCTTTGTAATTAGAAAGAGACGTTTCCATGAAAATTACCTTGCAAGAACCTCGTATTTAGTCCACAGAAAAACAACACAGCATTCTGTGTCAGTAGATGTTACAGTACCAGACATTTTCCTTTACGTGAAATATGAAAATTGAGGAAATTAGCGAGAACTAATGGGAGTGCAGACACTTTGTGGAAAATGTGTAGATGTAATCAGTGAGTTTAACATCATGCCTGGTTTGCTGTTTTAAACACGTGTCAAGAATTTAGTTTTCTGTTAAATTAAAGTGTTATACTTTTTAAATATGAAATTACGGTAAAAATTTGAGGCAACTGCCAAGTATTATTGTGTTCATTGAGTCTCCCATTGCCGCTAAAAATTACTATTTTTAAGCAAAACCCATCGTTCTTGGAGATACAAATAATTAGTCTTCACGTATCTACGAGTACAGTGCACAATTGTTTGGATTTCCTCTTCAACTGAAAGTGATACAAGTTGCATGCATCTGTCCCCCCCCCCCCCCCCCCCCCCCCCCCCCCCCCCCCCCCCCCCCCCCCCCCCCCCCCCCCCCCCCCCCCCCCCCCCCCCCCCCCCCCCCCCCCCCCCCCCCCCCCCCCCCCCCCCCCCTGCTTTCAGCAATAAAACCACTATTTTTTCACCGGTAGCGATGAAATGTTACAGCTACATACATGATACCATGTGGTATTGCATCTCGTCATATCAGGTGCTGAAAATTTTCGTCAGCAACTGTTCGGGAGACAGAAAGTTAGTGAATGAGCTTTGTAGACTAGATTGTCTCAATAAACTCTATCAAACAATGCTCCCAGATTTCACCCCCCAGATTTTACCCCGAGGAGCCTACTGAAGGGGAATATATGCGGGGGTAAGCCTCGTACCAGTGACGATCTCAGCGAAAATACTCGTCAGATGATCATTGCCGTTCGTGCGGACATGATACGACGTGTGTATTCGTCAGTTTGTTTCATACCGTCCAGGGGCTGCCACTTCGAGCACTCTGTGTGACGGGATGCAATTTCACAAGGGTTGAAGTATGTGCCTGCAGGATTTTATCAACATAGGTACATAAATAATGGATTTTATTCCTGGCAGTCTGGGACCTCTAGCGAGAGAATCGCTCTCACAAAATGTAATCCGTCAGTTTGCTGGATTTCAATATGCATTGAATATCTGCTGGCATTTTAATATGGCCAATGGCGATAATTTAATTGGTGTTAGTATAGGGTACTCGTTAAGAATATTAGGTTTACATAAACATTATTTAAAAGATAACTACGAGTTTATAATAGGCCTCAGCTTGTTACAGGAAAGGCATAATAAGAAGATGTGGTAAAATGTTGGTTGATAGTTATTTTAAATTTCTTCGAGAAGCATTTTATATACCGATACGTAAACAACACAAGTAAAGAAAGATTATAGTACTTAAGATTTTAAAGTTCTCCGCGTTTTACCTAACCCGAAGTTTCATTACAGTTCCGTGTTCATAAGAACCCGCTTTTGGGCCATATCCTGAGCTATATGAAGTTACAACACAGCCTTAAACCCCACTTTTTTTATAATCCATTTTAATATTATCTTCCCACCTACGTCTTATATCAATGCTTATGTGCCCATGTACCTTCATTAAGGTTTTACGACTAAAATTTTGTGTATATTAATAGTTCCGTCGCTCTCATACTCTTCAATTTGATCACTGGGTTGTTACGCCGTGTAGTCTGGTAGAAGTTTCCAGACGTTTCAGAGGTCCTTGCCTTGATTATGGAGGCAGCAGGAACCTCTGAAACGTCGGTAAGATTCTACCATTTTCAGACTCATCACCGTGAAAACCTCAAATCGTGCGCTCTAATAGCATTTGGTGTTGAGAAGTAAAAAGTAAATTTTGTGTATAGTTTGATGTTACGAACTGTCATTCAACGCGTGTTCTGCCGAAGTCGGTAGGTTAAACTCACGAAACGTAAACCGGAAAGGGACTTCCGCATTGATGGCGCCAGTCAAATGAGCGCATTGTCCGTGTTACTGGAAATTTATCTGTTGCGAATTTAGTTACTGAAAAATGTTTCTGCGTTCCCATACATTTTTATTTTTTATTTCGCTGTAATAAAACCATAAAACTTTAATTCGTATGATTTTTCCTAACAACTTATTTTACGTGCGCTATAGTGGTCTAGCGGTCAGAACACTAGCCTTGTAATCCTGGGGTCCCGGGTTCAATTCCCGGTGGTGCTCAGATTTATAACTTGTGTTGGGCAAGGCCGTGGTTTAGGCATCATGGAGTTTTCCTCCGGGGGCTTCCCCGGTTTCTCCATGGCATCCCAACAATTACTCCACTCACACTCACACAGAAGAAGGCAATGGCAAACCACTTCTGATCATCTCTGCCAAGAATGTATATATGTATGAGCAGGTCCCTGACAACCTGAAGAGGATGGAAGGATCCGGTTCATAGTATATGGACCTGTCGGCAGACAGAACACTATAAATAAAAAAATAAAATAGTTTTTTAGTACTTGACTTGATTTTTTTATAACTATTAATTAATATTCTGTATTTGAAATTCAAGTCTCGGTACTGATAACAAAAACTGCAAACCCCGAACTCATACATAATTTAATCGAAGGGTTGTGATCGTCAAACTGAATGTAACTGCAGTAGGAGTCTCTCCCTCACAGAATGCAAGTTGGTTCCTCACAGGGGGAAAGACACGCAAACAGTTTCTGTTCCCATGAGAAGAACTTCGTTGCAACACGGCGTAACCATTAGAATTCTACCAGATCAGGGTAGTGAGTGAGGAATGCTGCAGCGGAAACAGCCATGTTCACGAGCAGTGATGGGGGAAACGAGGAAGACGGGAAACGAAACGGGGGTTGGGGGTGGCAGAGTGGCGGTGAAATGTAGGCTAATTTAGTCGCAGTCTGCATTGCATATCCTAGCCCTGTCTGCAGTAACAACGTCAGCAGAGAAATGTGTTTGTGGTATTTTTCTTCTTTTGTGTTTCGGTGCCGTATCTTATTCCAAGAGTTGCTTAAAAAAAACACACATTTAGCCATTCTGTAAAGCATGTGACAGTGATTGATTCATTTGTACTCCTTACATAACATTATTAGTGTGATAGAACCAAATACGATGGGGTGGGCTCGGGCATGTAGAAAGCGTGAAGGAGGAGAGAAAGTTATACAAAATGAAATCACAAAACCAAAATTAATAGACCACGCGGAAGACATGCGCAGGTAAAAGGATACTGTTAAAATATATTTTAAATAAATAACTTTTAAGAGTGTGGACTCGATTCATAGTGACCACATCTTGTAAATATGACAATAAAACTTTGGTTTCCATAAATCACGAAGAATTTCTTGATTAGCGACGAATATAAACTTTATAATGACGGTATTTTATGGAGTTAGTAATTATTTAACTGCTCGAATCCTTACACCAATATTAGGCGTATGTTGAATAAATGTAGGTATAAATATATTAATAAATTTGATGCCCTCATTATTTTATTCAGTAAGTAATTTACATGTGTCTTTTGAATTCTTCAGCGTAATTTTTTTCCCCTGAGGCAATAAACATGCAAGAACTTGTATCCTCTTGCCTGGTATTAAAGGGACTAAGACAAATTTTTCACACATGCTGTTTCTTCTATGTATATGAATTTGTAGTGCAATACCTCATGCCTCATTAACTTCGGAGTTCATTTATTTAAGATGAGAAATTTATTTCCTCAGCTGGTCAGTTTCTCCTCTTCTGGGTCCAGAAATCGCACTGTTGCGCTCACAATAACCAAAAAATGGACCCCTATACTTAGCCAGCTGAATGCACCACAAAACTCGCGACCAACTTCTAAAACCAATTTTTATACTAATTTTGTGTCCGAAGTGGTAACTTACTTTTAAATTTTCCAGTCAGACGTGTCACTCGTTATCTCTCGTATGCGTACTACGGATCTACTCTTCACAACTTTTATTTGGCCATGCTATTAATATTTAGAGACGAATATAAGTTAAGAATCTCTTTGTTATACGTTTTTATCGAGCCCTTTGTCACTTTCTCCCGCTTAGATCCAAATGTTCTCCCCAGCATCTCGTTTTCAGACGTGTAGCCTGTAAAGCGAACTAGCCAGAATCGTATTTGTGTTCGAGTGCTCGCCTTTAGGTACAAGTAGCAGTATTTGTATTTCCATACACGAGCACGAAGTAGTAAGGGGACATATGTGAGTATCCTGAAGGAGTGAAAGAGTCGTTGGTGCGTCAGCTTTGAGAGGAGAGCAAAGGAAGTAACGAAAAATGAGGATGGAGATCTCTCATTACAGAGCAGACCGAGAGGGAGAGGAGAAAACAAGAGAGAGGGAGAAATAATACAGCGGCGAGTGTGGTAGAGGATAAATTTGGAGTGTGCATGTAAAAGAGAGAGAAAAGAATGGAGACGTGGTAGAATCCAAAACAATGACATAAAACATTCTTCTAAATATAATCCTTTTGAAGGATCGGCAGCCTAAAGCAAACAAGAAAATAGATGGAGCTGAAAAAGTTCAAGATATATATTAAAATAAGATTTTAATTTGGTGTTCCAATAGCAAAAAGGGGCATAACTATCTTGGAGAATCTGATAAAATGTGGTTTTAAAATCTTATCTATTCATATCCTTAGTACACGTCCTTCTAACTTCAGTGTTAGGGTATAAGTTGCGTCGAATGTTTAATATTATCACCTCAAAATGACTGCTGCAGTTCAATAATTTTTAACATTCAGCGTGTTTCATCCTTAAAAGACGAACGTGTATTAAGATGGTTGTCTTCTGGATAAACTTCTACCAGACTACACGGCGAAACAACCCAGAAGACAGCCATGTTCAGACCCACCGCCGCGAAGACTTCAAATCCTTCTTGAACATACACTTCGTTATTGTGAAACTGCTTTTAAGAATTTTCAGATTTAAAAGGCATTTAACTTCATGTCGATGTTTTATTAAAATGTGTTGATACAGTCCACTTTTGCTTTTCTTTCGAGAAAAATAACGCGACCATACGATACCTGCAAAATTTATGACGGATGGTCTTTGTCGTATATCCTCTAATTAATATAAGTAGGCGTGTACAGAAAGTCACATACAGTTCACCATCCTTACGAGGCTACACTTCACTGGTAATAGTGAACCATAATTCCAGTTCATAACTGTCAACGAATGACACATTTTGAAAAACGATATTCATAACTGTTATTTAATTAATATCGTTGAGCTATGAAAATATATATCAGAGATTAAATTTATAATTCATTTATTTTAATATGTACAGATATAACGTACATGCTCTCACAAAACTCTGACTCTCGGTGCCCCCTGAGGTCATACACACAGTAATGTGCTGTGTAACTGTAGCCACGATACATACAACTGCCATTCTTCAGAACAATTCTACCCGGGTCCTTTGTGCATCGGGATTTTGTTGCAGTAAAATACGTACAAAAAGTAAATAGTAAATAACGCGTATGTACCTCAGGCTAGCAGATGTCAAACTGTTGAAGTTCACATTTCAAACGGGAAATAGGCCGACCTTTTATTAAATTTAAACAAACCCTATGAACGTTATACTGTGAAACTCCCATAAATAATAATTTTTAATCGTTTAGTTAAGTATCCGGTTACAATTAATCCATGATATAAACTTAACACATAGTCAATAAATTATGTGTTATTTTAAATCGTCATAATACGCTCGATACGATGGAGTTTTATTTTGCAATAGTTTATTTAACTAAATTACTACAGATTGTATCATAAACGGGATGTAGACTAGCATCGACTGACTCAGGATTACTACCATTAGCGGACTCTCGTCATCAACACGTTAATACAACTTTGGGTCATATAACATGAGAGAATTTTTGACCAGCTGAGCGACTATTAATTTTTTTGCTTCACGTAGTTAGAATTTTAACTTTTCCATACTCCCTTCCTCGATGTTATATTCCCTTTAAGTTCGTAGTAGGAGCCGTGGTATTGACTAAGGTATTAATATTTTACGTAATATGCAGTCCTATATTCGGTAAATCTTCTTCTGACAGTTTTTGTGATTTCTTTAGGTTTCACGTAATGTCACGTGATGACCGGACTGGCTTTGTTTATTCGGGCGATCTGTATCCTCGGAGATGGGAATTAGAGCGAGAGTCTTCCCACAGGAACTTAGGACTCTCACTCTCGAGGAGTCCTTCAGAACAGCAGGATCACCAGATACGTCAGAATCATCAACACGGCTTCAGACATCCGAACGACAACATATTTTGTGTAAGTATATGTAACTTATGTAATGTGGCGTGAGTAATCAGTTGTGTGGTGATGACGTTCTTCTGGGTTCTAGCTTGGTAAATGCCACAACATAGATCCAGGTACCAGAATAATTCGAAATAACTTCGTATGTGTACAGAGGTCTTTCACAACGTAGATACTGGATCCCACATTAGAATCTTTGTGGATATTTTTAATTTTGTTGTGTGTTTCTGCCTTTTTATATATCTGGATTTAAGTATATTAAAATACAAATAATTGTGGCATAACGTAAAATATTGTATTCATAAGTCACGAACTTCTACAATCTTCATTCGGAATATTTTTTTTATTGTGGCTGAAATACATTCAAAATAAGTATATTATCTGATAGCATAAAATACGAGACATACGATTCTAAAGAAAAGAAGAGTTTCCGTGAGAAACTAATATTTTCCTGACATCAAGAAATCCTCTAATAAAACCCAAACGTTGATCTCCGTTACTTAATAATATTTGTTATCAGGACTTTTTCCATCGTATTTTTTTTTTAAAATTCACGACGTTTCTAGTGACAGAGACTAGCTCTTTCTAAGGGACCCAACAGAGCAGGTACCTCTCATCTGAAGACGGAGACAGAACCAGCTTCCGAAACGTCGTGAATTTAGAAAGAACAGACGATGGAAAAAGTCTTTACAACAAATAATTTTAAGTGTAAACTACCGAACAGAGTTGATCTCCGTATTCTTTATTGGAACAGCTTAATGAATCCACACCTCGTCTTCACGCCTTTTTATTATTCACTTTAGTATTCTTCTTCTTGACTTTGCGAAGGTCCCCAGTTGATCTGTCACCTTCTGCAAATTACAACTATGCAAATACTGTGTGTGTCATAATGGTGTTTTAGTGAGATCGCCGCTAATTTTCGTGGCAAATGGCACTCGTATTGCGACTGGGAACAATGGAGTTAATGCAGCACAAATGTAAAGATAATTGATTCTTTACAACGCGGCATACTGGAATGCCCTAGTAACTGGTCCTCACTGATTCGATTGTCATGTATCTTAAATTGTTCGTAAAAGTCACTGTTGAAACCCAGAGCTTTATATCTGATCCAGTGTAATCAAGAACATCTCCCTTGATGTATAAAAGACGTAATCATTTAATGGTACGTTAGTTGGTTCACTTAATTACTCTGATACCCATTTAGATATCTTTGCGCGCGTGCTGCCTAGCCTTTTTCTACATGAATGTGGCTTCGTCGAAAACGAAGATTTGTTTGATACTGGGAAAATTTTGTTTTCAGCAACCGATTATTATAGACGTACACGAAGCATTAATGTAGTGTGTGACGTAGGGAAATTAGGTGGCGTGTTTTTAACCATCTGCCGCCATTTCCAGGAAAAAGTAATCAAATTCTAAGAGTGGCTCACAAAATATTAGGTTTATGAACAGATATTCGGAGATAGGGATTAGCTCTATCTAGTGGGCCCAACTGTGTAGGAACCTGAAGACGGAGATAGAGTCCCATCTCCGAAACGTCGTTTTACGTTTTATATTTACTAGACGATGGATAATATCCAAGAAAATTTTTATTCATTTGACTCTTCACCATCGTCAAGAAGTTTTAGATTTGATAGATATTCTTTTGTTGGTCTGTGAAATTTTTCTGCGTAAAATTTAAATACATTCTATAAGTAAATCATAACGTCGGTTGAAGATTTATGTGAATATGTTTTATGCAATATATTCGTCCACACACAATGTTAACGATAACATGTGGTTTGTTTCCGTCAGGTACTGAAACATATTTTACGCTTACCGCCAAATGTAAAAAACTTATAAACGCTGGTGCGGAGTGTTTGTAAGCCTGCATCATTGCAATTGATACTCATCTTTAAGCGCTGTATTAGATTATTGCGCCTCCCAAGAAATGACGTGTTTAAATCAGCATATCGAAACGCAAATAGAAACTCGTCTTTCGTCTATATTGTTTGCCAAAATTCTGAGAACCTTACTTTGCATTTCGTATTTATAGGAGCTATTACGTGATTATTTTTTAAAGAAATTCCCAGTTTTTTTTTTTATGAAAGCCCATGATTCGTTCCAGCATCGGACCCTATTCCTCTAAAATCAATGTTTGTATTTCCCTCTCATCGAAATCTGCATCTCCCATATGGACTCTTTCATTCAGGTCTTCAGGATAAATTCTGGTTAATTTTCCATCTCTCCTATTCTGGCTGCATTCGCCGTAATGTAACAGGCCTATGTGGTAAAGGCCAGAGACTATAAAACTCCTCATTATGCTATATTCTCATGTTACTTGCCTTCATTTAAGGACTTAGTATGCCTGGGTTTTGACGTTTACCGTATTTTGGGAGTAATCGCGTGCTTTGATAACTACATTCATGTCTCGTTCGATATTATGTCCAATAAGTTATCGATTTTCTATGAAGCTGGAGAAGTTGACCTCGAACACAGGCAGCAGCTGAGCTAGGAAGCGCGGTATGTCACACCAGTTGCCTCGCCATTGTAGGAACTCTGTCCTGTGAATGCGGAAGGGTCTTCACAAATCGAAGGGGAGAGATAGTACGGAACAGCAGAAAAGAAATGGGATGTCAGCGGGAGTGCGCGTACAGAAGAAACTAAAGTGGACCCGGTGGAATGGCTCGTTGAAAAGTCTGAAGGCGCAGGTAGATGATCTGGTGGAAAATAGGATTTTATCGGTTCATTCGTTGTTAATTTAACGATGATTTACCAGCCGCCTAAGTTATTAAAATCCGAATGTAAGAGGAGTTTAAATTATAAATTTAAAATGGTGTTAAAGTGAGCGGTCGGAATTACTGTCCTGTCATTTCTATACAGAGTCTGACAAAATAACATAAGACGTCAGCGAGAATATTCGACTCCCGAGACGACCTTTGTACTCGGTATATCCGGAATAGGCCAATCGACGACGAAGTTTGGCGAATAAAATATAACAGGAACAAAAATAAAAATATTTATTTGCATATTCGAAGGTCATATTGATGATCTAGTGAGTATTTTGGTCTAAGAGAGTGGCGTCATGAGGGAATGAAGAATATCGCGCATCGAGTGTCTTCATTTTTCGAAACCGTTTTACATTAAAAAAGGGGAAAGACATATACGATGAAATATATTTTTTAATTGTATGTCATTGGTTACGTAGGCTGTAAGACGCAGACAGAAATGTGGAAACTAATCTAAGAAGATATGCAGCCCTATTCTCATCTTGCGGTTGCTATTGAATTGTTATATAAATCAGAGCTTGAGTTTCAAGAGAGATGAAATTCAATTCATCCTTGGACATTACGTGAATCTTTTAGCAGTGAAAGGTGATAGTTACTTGAATAGACCCGGATACATAAAGAACGGGAAAGAGAAAATGTGGTGTATTTTATTTAACACAGCAGAATATATCGAACTTTTTATCCACGAAGAATAAATGAACAAAATAAGATGTGAAAAGAAACAGGAATTTCTTATCAGTATCCCAGCGGTCCCCGATATTTTTCTGATTTTATATCACAAGTTTGTGTTCTTTTACCTTGTTCTTGTTATGTTGCTGAATATGATTAAAGGTCACATCTGAAGATCTGCAAGTCTGTTTGGTCAGTGATTTAATGTCGGAGTTCAAATGGGATTGAAAGCTTAGGAAGGCCACTTTAAGTGGCTAAAATTCTGAGCCAAATTCAGTAAAATTCGTTTGAAGAAGAGACATGAGTAGGTAACTGAGAGGAGGAAAATAAGATAGAAGAATGGAGGAAGAAGAAGGCGTGAAGGGCGAAGGATGAAAATAAGGACGACGCGGGGAAAATAAGACGTGTTACAATCTGTCCCAAAAAAGTTAGATTTTACGAATGATTCTATTTATATTTCCGCGTTGACAGGAATTTTAAAATGACTAGAGCAGAGCGCTACTTTCGGAGCTCCTCGGGGGGTTGGTTGCGTTTTAAAATCTTGGGTAAGAAACTAAACCAACCCCCGAATGGGGGGGGGGGGGTGAAACAC